CAATCAAATATCCTCCTCACATTGTCAGGCTCTTACTGGATGGAATGAGGGTGGACAATTCTAACTTTTTACAGTATGTGTTTGGTGAAGATGGTTTGACAATACCTTTTGTCACTTGAAAGAACTAAGAGGCTCCGATCACACAACCAAGGAACTGCAGGCGGGAAGCGAGGCTGTTTGCCCCAGGGCGAACTGATGCGCGTTTACGTGATCAGACATCCGCCCGCCCGCCCGCCCCGCAGTTCCCTATGCTACTGACATTTCCCTGGTGGTTTTTTGCGCCACTCCTGTGGCGCAACAAGACGCCCCGCCAATGACTCCAGGATGCCAGACAGATGTGTCTGTCTGATCGCATCCCTTTAATCCGCGGGGGGAATCGTTTGCCTGCCGCAGCTTCTGTTCCGTATGATCGCAGCCAGAGTTTGTTTTCGGGTGGGGGGGGATGCTTCTGTGAGTTTCCAATATGTTGAATAAAAGCCACCTGTTGTGTGCATCTATTGGCTAGCACCTGCAATGACACCAAGGACTGAGTTGGGAACTAGGGTAGCTGGGTTCATAAGTTAGTCAATCGCAAGCTGGGTCATGTAAACTGGTCAAATGAGCAAGGCTTCCAAGTTCAGGCTAAATCTTAAAGGGCCTTAAACAGAAGCAACCCTGTCCAATCCTGGGCCGTACCCTGTCAGGAGTTCAGTAGGATCCTGCTCCAAAAGGGAGCTAAGTATACAGAAGTAGCGGTCTGGCATTGTCGCAGGGGTGCAGGTGGCAAGCCTGGCACTTCTTTGTTATCAGGCTGCTTCCTCATGTGCCTGTTATCTGTGCTGACCCTGTCTGGTGGGAGGGAACCCAGGAGGATGGTGGTCTAGTGTCTATCTTTGCAAAAGTGGGGGATGGCTGCCATGAGGTCTGGAGAGTTGACGATGTCCTATTATGCATGGGTGTTTCCCCTCACTTTCACTGTGCATGTCCATCAAGTTTTAGTTGTTGCTCTGCATTGATTTTCTTCCCTTCAGCACTCAGTTTGCTTTCTGGTCGCTGTTCTCCAAATTTTCTGAGAGTGGTTTTGTGCCAATTTTTCGCTTGCCTCGTTTCCAAGCTGAAGGTAATTAAAAAGCATACGGATTCCCTTGGATTCCCCTCCCTGCCATTTTGCCGCCCCTTGAAGGTCACTCCCCACCCACACTGAGTTTGTTCCACCCACTCTGCACCTTCCACCACCCTCCCCCCTTCATTGGTGTACAAGCTCCATTTTTCTCGTTTTTAAATTTTTTTTGACAAGCAATATGAGACTACTGGGAATTGGGGAAAAGTTTAAAGGAGCTGTGCAAGGTTTCGTTCCCTGCTGGTATTGACTTGAAAGGGGGATTGGAGAGGAGACAAATGGCAGTGTCCCCAATTTTTTTTTTAAAAAAGGATTTCAGTGCTGCACGCAAACAAAATAAAGGAATGTGGTCATCAGCGTGGAATGAAATTGACATGAGATGTAAAGAGAGAGAGAGAGAGACTGGGATGGGAAGCCTAAAGCTTTGAAAATATGTTTTCCTTTCAGGCTTTAGTGAACAAAGGTTTTTTGGGGAGGAACCATTTTCGCAGTCTCTGGAAGCCTAACATTAAAATGGCAGTTGAGCCACATGGACTTTCTGTGAACTGCCAAACTTAAGATTCACTTGGGATCAATCCATTTGGAGGAAGAGTGAAGGACCAAATTAGAGAATCACAAAGAGAAAACTACACAACTTTGCAAGGAAGGGCAGGAAATTACCGTTATTATGAAGCTGCGCTAGGGCTTTGGCTCTAGCCCCATTTTTTTCAATTTAGTGGCACAAGAGCTTCTCCAGAGCTTCTGCCAGAGGACTCCTCCCTCACTGGTGGAGTTGTAGCCAACGCACACACACACATTGCCAACAATCATAGCTTGCAATGCCAGTGTCAGTGGGTTCTACCGTGCATTCAGTACACTCAACATGTTCCCTCATATTATGAGATCCTGTGACTCTTCCCCTGAGCCAGCCATGGCTGGGAGGACGGGGTATAAATATAATAAATAAATAAATAATTTCCCCCCCCACAGAGGTCAATAACACAGCAGAGAATCACCTAGTATTTGGCAACATGGAAAACAGGGCTTCAGCTGCTTGTCAGTTTCAGAAAAATTCTGGTCAGTTTCAACACTGGGTTTCCTCCCTTTGCCTGCTGTTCCTTTCTGTTCCCTTTCATTCAACAAAGTAACGCTAAAATGCATGTGTTTGCTGCGATAGGGCAATTGTGTAATTTTTTTAAATTGGGTGCCACCCCCCATGTCACAACTTGCTCCCTCTAAGCTGTGGATTCTTGTGAGCAAAAATTCTACTTTGTGAGCTACTGGCATTACAGTTGTGAGCAAGCGATTTGGCTGCTGCATAGATTAGTTTGCTCTGGAGTCATCCTTCCTGAGCTAAGACAAAAATGTGTGAGCCGGAGGCTAAAAAACTGTGAGGGAACACTGGTCACAAGTGATGTTCCACCCCAATTTAGAAAACTGTGTTTTTTAAAAACCGTAGCTGCAGAATAAATACTCCGGAGGAAAAATAATGATGCATAAGGTGGGCACAGAATCTGAAGTCAAGATTAAAGGTTTACTGCTCTGAAAATCTGTAGGATGTGCGTGCGTTAAGGGGTAATGTTTCCTGGTGCAGAAGCATCAGAAGCAGTCCTCTTGGCCAAGGTCTCAGAATCCAAGTGATCTGGGCTGCAGGAGTATTGGTGATACTAGGGGTCCCCTGAACCCCCTAATCTTTCCAAGGGGTTGTCCTTAGCTCCTTATGTTCTCCATTGGATTAAAAGTTTGAGTCCAGGGCAGGAGGGGTGCTGACACTAGTTTGGCAGAGTACAAGGTTTCAAATATCAAAATGACACCCTCTAAAGCCAGCAAGTCTAACCCTGAAAAAACCCTGCCTTTCCAGTGAACAACACATCCTGCAGGTCTGGATTAACTTTTAACTTGTTCTCCCCCATCCACTTGAGAAAACCGATTCAGGACACAGATAGCAGCATCCAGAGGTCTGGTACACCTGGGTGCCATCAGCATACTGATGACACCATGCTCCAAAACTGTGATGATCTCATAAACACATTAACCTGCACTGGGGAAAGGACAGGATCTTGGGGAACACCACAAAATAACCACCAAGGTACTGAAATAGCTTGCCCAAAGGAAGCTCTTCATTATCATTCTGACAGAAAAGACCAAAACTAATTGAGAGCAGTGTTACATATTCCAAAACTATGTCCTAATGAGGCAGTATGGTAGAATAAACAACTGGGTCAAATACAGATGATATATCTAACGGCATTAAAAGGGGGAAATTGCCCTTATCTATCTATTTGTAGATGGAGATAATTTACTAGTGCCACAGAACCGAGTCAAAATGCATACTGAAGAAGGTCAAGGGAAGAAGCATTACCTAGGTATGCCTGAAGCTGCTCTGCTACCACCATTTCTATATCACTTTGCAAGTTAGAACAAGGTTTACAGTTCACAGGTCATCGTTTAGGGAGAGCCTTTTCAGGAACTGTCATACAACCTTTTCTTTCAGCTCCCTAGGAGAACAACCCTGACAAACAACATACTAATTTTCCCTGTCAGGGGTAATTCTCAGTCCTGGCAGACTGATGAAGAACAAGGATCAAGAACATAAGTGATGGCCTTCACAGGCCCATGGATCGCTTCAGTCAAGAAGACAGAACAGATACGATCCATAGAAATCTGACAAACAGATCATTCTGGCACCCTCAGCCCAGGGAATGTCCTCAAATTGGTAAGGCACAGCAGCCGCTGGACTTCCATATGGCAGGTCTTCCCAGTTTCCCTGCTCCAATCTTCTGGAAGTGGCCACCCCCTCCACCAGGCCACCAAGGCTTTCACTTTTTTGAAAATAATGTATATAATATGATAGTGTGACCTGTCTTCTGTTTTCTCTTTTTAAATCTATGCTATTTTAATGTTTTTAGTTATTCTGTAAATTCTATTTGTGTGTTTTAGAATCCTACTATGATCTGCCCTGAGCCCACTTGTGGGGAGGGCAGGATATAAACTGGATAAAATAAATAAATAAAAATATACCACTGTAGTGATAGGTGTAACAGGTTACCTAAATTCCCCAGTCTTCGTTTTTTAAAAAGAAGGTGTCCATCCCCTCCCCTTGTGGCCATACGCCTTTTCCTTTAGATTGCCTCAAGAGAAAGGGCTACAGACTTACTTTTTTAAGGGGGGGAGGAATGAAAGCTGGTAATTCAGAGAACCTTCTACACCTATAGTTACAATGGTGTATCGATATAGCCATATTTTAGTGCCAATTAAAACAATAGAAAGCCCACAAGAAGTGGGGGGGAGGAAATGACTGCCAAGTGCACATCCCCTGGCCTGATGCCAGCTGTTTGCTGATGAGTAGCTGCAGGATTGCTTCTGAGCAGATAGCTGCAAGCCTGACCCTTAGGTGTGTGGCTATAAAACCAGACAAGAAAGGCTGTTAGGCATGAATGCAATGCATACATTAGATGCTAAGCCACCAACTCTGCCTTGCCTGATTCTCGAACCTGACCTTGGACTGAATAACTCTGCCTTGCTTGACTTCCGGAATTCAGACCTTGGGCCAACTACCTCAACCTTGCCTGACGTCTGAAACCCTGACCTTGGACTGATTGACCCTGCCTTGCCTGACCCCAACACTAAGCATTGTTATAATTTGCATCTGAACAAGCGTACCTCACCCGGGGGAACTGCGATCCCCCTCGAAATGACCTCTGGACACAACACGTAGCATAGACACCAAGCCACCGACTCTAACTTGTCTGATTCTTGGAACCTGACCTTGGACTGAAGAACTCTGCTTCACCTGACTTCTGGAATCCTGACCTTGGATTGAACAGCCCTGCCTAGCCTGACCCCTGGCACCTGATACTCGGAGCCTGCAAGCCAGTACACAGTGATATTAAGAAAAATATGTTAATATTGCTTTCCATACCATGTATTTTGGTCAGAATTGTGCTCGCAAGCTCTTGAACAATCTCATCATTGCTTTTCCCTGATCCTTGCGTAGCTGATCGTGGCTGTACTTCAAGTATTGTCGTAAGTAAGGTATGTGTTTCTTTACGCTGCAATAAAGAGGTAAAAAATGAATCATACGCTAACGCTTTGAACTTGTCATGGAATCAATGAACTTTCAAAAGGTGACTTGTTCAAAATAATGATTTACATTTATGTATACGCCTATAAATTTACTTTCACGATGAGAATGTCCACACTTTATTTTGAGGAAGACTCTGCTTTTACTTTGAAGTGATTATGGTCAGTGACAGATTGTTCTGTATCATCATAGAGTTGAATGGTGTTAAAAGCCTTGGAATCGCACCCCCTCCCAGCAAATTCGCCCCTAGTAAAAGTGCAAGATAGCAACAGGACAATTAATCTTGGCTCTTGTTTCTATTCTTGATTCAATATAAAACTGTTGAAGTGAACAAAAATATTTGTTAATAGTTCCCATCAATCCGTACAAAGTTAACAATCGTCTTTAATGTGTTTTGGGGAAGAAACAGGCAATTGCTCCTCTGCACATTTTTAACTTAGTTCATTAAACTTTCTACAATATATTATCAAATAGAGCTATAACATTAAGAGAACAGAGTTAAAATTTAATGATTTTAAGTAATTACCTTAAAAACTGATGATAAAAATTTCTGTATCTAGCTCTCAAGGGCCACAGTTTATTAAAGAATGTGCATTTTATGGGAGGCTTTTTGGTACTATGCCAGTCTTCCTCTTTATGCTGTTGAGTGCTTCCTGGTTTCTAGTTCGTAGAAAATACTATACCATAAGCAAAAATGCAATGTTATCATGAAAAACAAAAAATAGTTCTTTTCCTTGGCAACCCCCCCCAACAAAAACAAAACAGTCCTTAGGGGGAGCCATAGCTCAGTGGTAGAGCTTCTGCTTAGCATGTAGAAGGTCCAAGGTTCAATCCCTAACATCTCGAGTTGAAAGGACCAGGTAGTAGATGATGTGAAAGACCTCTATATGAGACCATGGAAAGCCACTGCCAGTCTGAGTAGACAATACTGACCTTGGTGGACTGATCGTCTGCTGTAACATAATGCAGCTTTATGTGTTCACACGGGGTTGGAGCCTGCAACTCTCTTTCATTGTCTGTACAACTTGCTAAGGAGTCTTCCTCTGATGGAAGAAGTTTCCTCTCCAAAGTGCAAGGGGACGGGGTAGGGCCATGGCTCAGTGGTACACAAGTAGGAGGTCCCGGATGTGTTTCACAAGTAGGAGGTACCGGATTTCAACCGCCAGTACCTCCAGTTAGAACTATCAGGTAGCAGGTTATGCAAAGGACCTCGACCTGAGACCCTAGAGAGCTATTGACAGCCAGATAACAATACAGACCTTGACAGAGCGATGGTCTGATTTAGCACAAAGCAGCTTCATGTGTTCATGTGCATTCTGTCAGAGATAGTCTCCTCAACTTAGTAGAAAGGAATCATAGATTCTAACCCACTGCTTTTAAAATGTAGCCTTTTCAGTATTTCAGTATGGGGGGGGGAATAGAGATTAATGTTGTACATACAATCAAATTCGGTTTTGTAACATTTAGTAATAAGTGCACTGGAAACCTCACTGCAGTACCTGAAAACAGTGCTGAGAGTGCATTGTGTATACAAAAGCACTAATAGTACCAGTGATAGATGAGCCTTTCTGGGTCAAAATTAGGCATGCAGAAAACCTTGACATGAATGTGATCATCAAATGAGCTGATCTTATTTGACTCTCGATCAGATGTGAGGTGAGCTCCTGACTAACCTCAAAAGCCACTGTCAGAGCATGTTGAGCAGCTTTGTCCCTACACCGTAACTGCTTACTTTACTGGGCTAGGTTCTTGCCATTTCAGTACTTGCAGTTCAGTCAGTTTGGTGTCGTGGTTAAGAGTGTGGACTCTAATCTGCGAGAACTGGGTTTGATTCCCCACTCCTCCACATACAGCTGCTGACGTGACCTTGGGTCACTCACAAGTTCTTTCAGAGCTGTTCTCTCAAGGGCAGTTCTTGAGAGAGTTCTCTTAGCCCCACCCACCTCACAAGGTGTCTGTTGTGGGGAGGGGAAGAGAAAGGGGTTGTAAGCAGCTCCTTCGGGTAGTGAAGGGCAGGGTATAAATCCAACCTCCTCCTCCTCCTCCTCCTCCTCCTCCTCTTCTTCTTCTTCTTCTTCTTTTCTCAGTCCCTGAACTGCTTGCTGTGGTAGCCACTTATTTTAAAAACTGAAACTGGCATTATTACACGATTACACTGTTTCTACCATTAGGCAGTATTTGTGGTGTCATGGTGTAATAGGGCTAATTGGCTCAACTGGGAAACAAATGTACAGAGGTATATTTCTCGCTGCATCAGAAAACAAAGGAGGAAGCTGATTCCAAGCTCCTAATAAGTGGACACCAAAGGCACAAAGAGACACCTAAATGGTAAGTCTCGTTACTGTTCTTTTAATCATAGAATAGAATCACAGAGTTGGAAGGGGCCATACAGACCATCTAGTCCAACCCCCTGCCCAATGCAGGACCAGCCTAAAGCATCTCTGACAAATATTCGTCCAGCCTCTTCTTGAAAGCTGCCAGTAAGGGGCCTTTTAAAATGTTCTTTTAACTGTGGGCCTTTTAAAACTGAAGGCAGGGGCAGACAAGTGGCAGGGTAGGAATACAGATGCTGTGAAACAGGACTGTAATTGGAGATCAAACAACATTTCTCCATTTGTTTACTTACATCAGTGAAGTATATCTAAACACACACACACAGTTTGAGCCAATGAATGTTGTTATCCCATGAGAGCAGGAATATTATCTAATGGCAGAAATATGGAATCGTATAATAGCGCCAATTTCATTTTTTTTTTAACGATGAGCAAGGCAAACAGCTTTGGACAGAGGATGACTTCTGACACTATGTTTTTCAACCCATCAGAGAAAACCGCAATCTGTAGGTCTCTGTATTTATCAGTTAATTCACAAGATTTTTGAGGCCGGAACATGGGATGTGTCAAATGAGGCCTCTGTGCAATTCTAACATAGTAACAGCAGACCTCCACTTTGTGCAAGGAAATCTAACTTCCAGTGGAACAGTAACTGCACGAGTATATTTGCATGACCTTCAATAAATGTTCTCCCAAAACATGTTCAGGTTTTCTTCAGGGAGACTCTAGTAGATAGCAAATAGAAATGAATTTGGTTTGAGCAGGTTGTCAGTGTA